TCTGTAGTTTTTCTACTTTCTGAGTTGAGCCTAATACATGTGGTCTTGCCTTAGACAATGGTTTGGGGTGAGTGAGATGGGTAAGGGCCACACAAAGCCTATAGGACTTTTGCCAGATAGATGCTTCATTTTTTCAGTCTCTTTACTCAGTTGTCAAGAAAACCCAAATTTTTACTATTTCAAAGGAGAAGGCAGATTTAGAGAGCACCTCCTATGTCTCTTAATCATATAACTTAATATTAAAAAAGTATGGTGGGAGGGATGCTTATCTGCTTTTTCAGTTTACTTCCTGGGTTTAACTTCTGAGTCTGGCTTTTCGGATATTTACTAGTAATATAATTTCCTTGTCTCTTTATCTGTCTGTCCTACCTCATTAAGACCTGGGTAACCTTCAGAGTCTGATCCATAGATCTGGAGTGTTACAAGCCCACTCCCATTCCCACTCCAGCCATATGCCTTTGTGATTGTACTCTGACCCCATATATATTATGTCTATTTCAGTCTTAAAGAAAAGGCAGCCAGAGGAACAGAGCTTTACAGCAGCTTTGCTCTGCTTCATGAAATATGAAAGGCTGTTTACTTAGTAACAATAACAATTTGGGGCTGAGGAGTTTATGCGTGACACAGATTGCTGGACCGTGTGGCAGGAGCCATGAGGTATAGTGATAGTATGTTGTACCTGAAATTGGATGGTGGATGATTAAACATACCACAGGCCCAGTGCTTTTCCCAATTCTGCTCAGGTAGTTGGGGTTTTGTTCTTTAGCATCCATCTCTTCCCTCCCTATAAGCAGTCTATAGTTCCTCTTTGCAGGTCATGGGCTCCTTAGTGTTCAGTTGGGAATGGCAGGCTTGCCCTTTCTTTCCTCAGCCCCAAATCATCTTTTTGTGGTATCATTCTTTGTAATCTTAGGAGTTGAGAGATTTCAAATCAATAAGGAAGAGGCAATGTGAACTTGTCCAAGCTAGTTTTTTCTTGTGCTTGTATGTACAGAGAGAGAGGAGGGAGGGAGGTAAGGATGGAGGGAGAAAAGAAAGAGAATTTCCTGTAATCTAAGACATTCTGAAGTTAACTCAAATAATTCAAAACAAAAATAATATGCTCATTTTTGTAAATGTCGACATCCCAGAAATGTTGATAGGTATAAGTAGAATTAAAATAAAACTAACCAAGTATACAAATGTAGTACACATTTTTTTTTTTTAATTTTGTTTTTGGGTCCAGTCGTGGGGCCTGAACTCTGGGCCTGAGCACTGTCCCTCAGCTCTTCAGCTCAAGGCTAGCGCTCTACCACTTGAGCCACAGCTCCACTTCCAGCTTTTTTTCTTTTTGCTTATGTGGTGCTGAGGAATTGAACCCAGGGCCTCATGCATGCAAGGCAAGCACTCTACCACTGAGCCACCCTCCAGCCCCGTAGCATACATTTTTATATGTACTTCACTTGAATAGATTAGTCGTCTCATTTCTAGTATGAGATGAGAGGCAAGAATAATGTGGAACCTGTAAAAGGCCAGGATATTAGACCTGAGTGACACAGGGAGGCTATTTACCAGGCCTCACACTTACAGTAATAATTTTTCCAAAGGCAGGCATGTAACTCTGGGCTGAAAATGACAATTGAGACATCTATCCATTGAAATCTCTGAGCTCGGCACCCTTCCAAACTAGCATCTCACTATAAATGGGTTTGTGGCCAGCCTCTCCATCCTGATTTCCAGAGCCCTGATGGTGCTTATTATCTATCTCCAGGGTTACTTTAGGTTTTAAACAAAACAACAAAAAAAACTTAATCCTTTTTATTTTCACATAGATGAAGGGGTGATGTTATAAAGTTAAATGAATAGAGTAGCCCCTCTGCAAAAGGTAGGAAAATCACTAGTATAGATGTTTTAGTCCATTTGCAGAAAATTGCCTATTCTCAAATAGATAGGTCAAGTGCACAAAGAATCACTACTTGAGCTAAAAGTTTTATTCCACATTTGGCTTTACTCATCAAGACAGGCAACCAAGAGGTATCCAGAATTTAACATCTTGCTATCTTCTTACTAGCAGGTTTTTTTGTTTGTTTGTTTTGTTTTTTGCTTTTTGCTAGTCCTGGGGTTTGAACTCATAGCCTGGGCATTGCCTCTGAGCTGCTTTTCCTCAAGGCTAGTACTCTTGAACCACAGTGCCACTATCTGCCTTTTCTGTTTATGTGGTCCTGAGGAATAGAACCCAGGACTTCATGCTTGCTAGGCAAGTACTCTATCACTAAGCCAAATTCCTCCAGCAAGATTAAAAAAAAAATTCTAGCTATACATATTAAGATGTTTATATTTATAGTAGAACTTGCTTACTTCATAGGATGACATTAGAGAATAAATTCCACGTCTTTATTTTGCAATGATAAAAATTAAGGAGTGTGAGCTGATTTGCTTAAAGGTAGTATTGCCCACTCCAAGTCAGGGCTAAGTGTGGCATCACACCTGCCTACCCAGCAGGTATCCCCTTGGTTGGCTTAGAGTACATGGTACAGTTGCTTTGCTTTTTTGTTTTTGATTTTTTTTCTTTTAAGGTACCTGGTAGAGTACTTAGGTAATAGAGGGTTAAGTTATAAACAGGGGAAAAGAACCTAAGAAGTTGAATGATGTAAACAGCAAAGATTATTACTTTTTCCTTTCCCATACTGCTTTCTCTCTTTCAACAAAAAAATTAAAAAAAATTTTTTGTGAACATGTTGAAGAACTTATAATAAACCTAGAAGAGGGAAATGTTTCAGGACTCTCCTAATAAAAAATGGTTTATGCAAATTTAGGAAACTCATTTCCATTTGGATCTGGACTTTGGTTCACAAGTGTGCCCCACCCAAGTGTGCCAAACAGATTTTGTACTTGGGCAAGCAGAATTGCCTCTCATCAGCATTTCATAAATACAGAGCTCTCAGGTCTGTGAGAGAGGCCCCATCACATCTTTCTGGACTAGAGCCAGCCCCAAGGGCTCTTTTGTAAATTTTCTTCAACATTTACACCAGCACGATCAGTTGTTTTCCAAGCTCTCTTTGCCTGGGTACCAGAAAACTTGTAAAGCTTGTTCTATGCTTAGGAATGCGCCTGTGGTCATACCTACACCATTACCTCAGTTTCAGAAATTGTCTTGTGAGCATTTATAGCCTCTTGTTAGGGGTTAAGTGGCTTTGGGGCTATAGTCCAAAGTGACTGACCCAAAGAGAAATCAGTGAACTAGAGTTGATAGCAAGTTATTCTTATCCATGAGCTGACTAGGTGTGACTACAAGCCACATTTTCTTTTTCCCTTTTCTTTTTCTTTTTTTTTTATTGTCAAGGTGATATACAGAGATGTTCAGTTACATAAGTAAGGTAATAAGCACATTTACAAGACACATTTTCTATCTGTAAGTTTCTCTCTGAGGGGATGATAGGGCTGGGTGAAGCTGCAGGATCTGTGGATTTTGTCAATTTTGGTGTCTGTATATGTCTGGCTGGGTTCAGTTTTGGGTTTGTGGGCATATTGTCTGACAGTTTATCATAAAAACCCATCTCCTTCCAGACGGAGAACCCTCTAGCTCCCCACATCTATCTATCTGAAATGTTTCAGATTCAGATTAAAATCAAAACAAAAACCAAGTTACCTGAGGAAGTTGATTTGAGGTTAGAGCATTTGACAGGTTAGCATTGGAGCCTTACCTGGAAGAATGCCAGCTGATAAGGAAATAACACCATCTCTGTGAGTTACCTGGGGCCATTGCAGCAGGGACTAGTAATCCTGCAAGCTTCCAGGGCCCTCTTGGTGTCATTCAGCTAAAGCACAACATGACAGATATTTACTGCACCGCTGAAAAGCCAGATTAGATTCTCATTCTTTCTAAAGTTTTGATCTAGGGGAATGTAATAAGATATAAAAATGTAGGCAAAGCCTGGTGCTGGTGGTGGCTTGTGTCTGCAATCCTAGCTACTAAGGAGGATGTAATCTGAGGATTGAGGTTCAAAGCCAGCTGGGGCAGGAAAGTCAGTGAGATTCTTATCTCCAGTTAACTACCAGAAAACCAGAAGTGGCACCGTGGCTCAAAGTGGTAGAGGGCTAGCCTTGGGTTGAAGAGCTCAGGGACAGCATCCAGGCCCTGAATTCAAGCCCCATGACTGACAAAAAACAACAAAAATGTAGGCAAATACTGAAGATTCTCTCTACTCCCCTCTTCTTATCTTCTTACTTCTTTTCTACCTCCTCTATTCCTCCCTCTGTCCCTCCCTTCCTCCCCTCTATCATTCTCAAGGGTTAACACAAGCTTTTTGAAAAATACACATGGTGTTCATGGTGTTATAGGTCAAAATGGTACCCACTCTGCTAGAGACTCTTTGGGTTTTTCTTTGAAGCCTCCAGATTCTTTCATTGGGCTTTTGTTTTCTTATAGTCCTTTTGGCCTTGCCTTTGACACCTCAGTATGTTTATTATCGATCACTTTGGTTAGGTCTGTAAACATGGACGCCGCCTCCCAGGTGGCACTGAGCGTCCTAGCTACAGCTGCCTTTGACTATCCTCACCATGAACTCTGAATGACAGCTGAGGAAGTAGTCACTCCATATATTTTGGTATTGCCATCATTTTGTTCTATTTTGATGGCATCTGGGCCCTGGGTTATAGACCTTCTCTCTGCATGGGGCCTTTTTGTGCTTTCCAAACATGCAGCCCTGCTGATACCAACAAGGGCTGCTACATGAGGTGTCTGACCATTGTTCCACCTGTTCTAGAGTCAGATAAAGGGGCTGTTGGGGAGGGGAAGCTTCTGTTTGTGGTAGTTGTTGGGTATTCATCTTGATAATCAGCTTTCTAGATAGTCTTGGATAATACATTCCTAAAATGTGGGAAGAAAAAAAATGCTTCTATGCATTTCATTGTACCGAATTATTGTGTTTATATGCATATATATATTTGATTGAAGAAGAAAAGTAATCCTGCCTTTGTACACAACCCTTTTATAACAAATTGTTTGTTATTGTGTTCAGGTTACAAGCATGGTAAGTATTTTCACCAAACTGAGTAGTATTCTTGTATTTTAGCTGTGCTTGGCAGACTTTTTTTTTTGCTAGCTTTGTGTTATAAGTCTTGGCTTTTCTAGAAAAGATCCCCATTTAGAAAAAGAGGAAACCACTCACCTGTAGTGTTCCCTACTTCTTTGGCTTTCCTAAGAAGCCCTGTAGTCTTAGACCCAAATGGGGATTCTGGGGAAAGCATGTGCCTCCTGCCAGCATGCTGCTTGGCCCACCCCCTGCCCACCTGCTGCTTCTGAGCTGCCCCCTGCAGGTAACTGCCAAGGGCTTGACCCCAGCAGAGTCTGGACTGTGGCCCCCAACAGCAGGCACATATACAGGGCTCTCCAAGTGCTCTGTAGATTGTTCTGACCCAACCCACATCCGTATTTCCTCTCCCTCCTCATATCTGTACACCTGAAGGCAAGTCCTTTTCTGCCCCTACTGTGTTAAGTAATTGGAAAAATCTCCTGGAAACTGAAATATTACACACACACACACACACACACACACACACACACACACTGTCTACTCTTCTCAGAGGCTTTCTATTCTATTGAAAAATGGATTTAAGATTTTAAAAACAAAAACCCTGCCACTGGGTATTCTTAGTGAAGAGTTCTAGTAGGCTGTTTTTGCCTCCTGGCTGTGTTTATTTATCCATGCATGTTTGCTTTTCTGGCCCCTGTTGTGGCTCTGTATTTTAGTCCATGTGCTCGTGGCTGTGCCTGTTTAACCTGTCTGGGTGCCATGCATTCTGTATTAAGTCAGTGTGTCACTGTCATCTTCAAGGATCAGACTGCAAAGGACAAGGCCCTGCAACACATGGCAGCCATGTCATCAGCCCAGATCGTCTCTGCCACTGCCATTCACAACAAGCTGGGGCTGCCTGGGATCCCACGCCCCACCTTTCCTGGGGCACCAGGGGTAAGTCAGGCCATACATCAGGAGTGATGACCACTAGGGATAAAGAAGATTTGATATGGTCATGCCTCAAGCCTTTCACCTGGCACTTCTTATTAGCTGGGTCGGTTGTACAAAAGGGCAGAGATCACATAGTATTGAATTGATGCTGGCTGCAAAGTGATAAAAGAAAGAATGGAAGGTTCCAGAGTGAGAGGGAAAGGGAGGAAGAGAGGAAGAGGAAAAAGAGGGCAAAAGGAATCAATTTGTAAAGACATGGAATTTAAGTATGACATTCTAATGCCCTTAGATTATGGAGGTTATGACCTATGTCTTTAGTTCTCTTTGTCTTTTTCCTGGCCCTTGGTCTCTGTACCTATGTCTTAGGGTCATTTTATTACAACTAGCCTCCAAAGGACCAAAATACTCTGTTGGTAGATTCATTTAGCCCCCTACCAGGAGCTGAGAAGCATTATATTGTCATCTCATTTAATCCTTAATGCTTCTTGAATAGTTTGGTGTTACTGTCATTACACATGAGAACATTGAGGCTACTTTAGTGACAAAGCATCACTGTGGGCAGCTTTTATCGAAGTCACATGGATAGTGATGTCAGCACAGTTCCAAGTCCGTCAGACTCCAAAAGCTGTTTCCTTTTTTGGCTAGGTAACAAACAGTAGGTGCCAAATGCCCCAGGGACATAGCAAAGAAGGTACCTGTGTTGCTTCTCCAAACTCTTGGCTTTGTTCTGAGCTTTGTCCACTCCTTTTCTGGGCCTTGGACATTCCTAGGGATGTACTTGAATGCTGCAAGTTGTGGAAGTGGAATATTATACAGAGAGCTTTTGAGAATGGAGAGAGGGAGAGAAGTATGGGTCTGTGCAGGGGTAAAGCAGGCCTGTTAAGTCCTGTTGAGCCTCTGAAGTGCACTGGCTGTGATAGGTATAGTTAGAACTCTGAAGAGCTACTGCTTAGTCTCTTATGCTCATTATTTTTAGGAGCTAAAGAAGTCCTAGGTTTCTTAGTCACAGTTACTTTTGTGCACAGTGGTTACCATGTCTATACTTGGGGTAGGTGATGCTACAGCAGGTGGGTGATGGGAATTTGCCTATCCTTCAGCAGGACTTGAAGTGTGTATACATCCTAAATTGTGCTTTGTCTTTTGCCTTCCAGTTTTGGCCTGGAATGATACAAACAGGGCAGCCTGGATCCTCACAAGAGTAAGTCAGGGATGGGGTACTGACAAAGTGGAAGGCTTGGTCAAATCCCATACTGGGGCAGGTTTTCCCTGTGTCTGTTTGTCTCAAGGACTAGTAGAGAAATAGAGATATAAGCTTCCCCCATCTTCCTCTAAAGGCTGGGAGTTGCAAAGAGACAGATGTCTCTGATCCAGGTGTGATGTATAAGCACCTTGTTCCCACTTTCAATAGTAGTAGTCATCCAGCTGGGAACAGGAAACAGGGCAGAGCTTGGGTTCTTCCTTGCCTGAGAAGGCAGAAGAAGTGGTTCTATAGACTTTTCTATTTGCACTCTCTGGGCTATGAGTGGCTGATGGAAAATCCTACAGATGCCTTGGAGCAAAGAAGCTTAGTACAGTGGAGTTCAAGACATATTGAGGATAAAGCAGAAGTTGGAGTGTTTGACCCAGAAAAGGAGAGTCTGAAGCATGTCCCAAACCTTGCTTGGACATGATAATTGCTGACCTTCTTCTCTGTGGGGACAGAGGCAGCTGTCACAGTATGTCCAGTCCCATTGAACTATCATGAGGCCTTGTGGATCCAAGGCAGCCTGCTGGCCTCACTAATGGAGAGAACAGCCACCTCTGCATTGCCAAGGCCTTGCCAGGGATGTACTGTCCCCTGTAGGCAAGGAACCATACAGGACAAGGGGGGAGAGTTGCCTTAGAGAGAGGCCGAGCTGTATAAACACTTCTCACCCATTTGTCTCCAGTGTCAAGCCCTTTGTGCAGCAGGCCTACCCTATTCAGCCAGCGGTCACAGCCCCCATTCCAGGTGAGTCTTCCTGGTTCTCCTCTTGGGACTGAGTAGCCTCCCACTCCCCCCACCCCAACTGGTTTCCAGAATGGGGTGATGCTTATCTTTGCCACAACTGTACATTTCTTCTGTCATATAGAATAATAACTGCCCTTCTCCCATTCCTTCCTGAGGGAAAGGACCTAGCTTGGAGCTCATGTGGGGCCCAGGTCCCTGCCAGGTCCAGAGTCCCTTCACTCACCTCCTGAGCCTTCAGATGGGTTTGTAAAGAAATAGGAAGCCTAATCACTTTCACTTAAGACAGTGGTCATACTCAGAAGGGGAAGTTGTTGCGGTTTCCTACTTCTCATATGCAGGCTGAATTGAGCAATTCAAGTCTTAGCAACAAATTAATGGTTTTACTCACCCTTTTAGAGATTTCAATTCTGTGTATACTTTCTGTAAAGGACAGCTTACCTGGAAGTCCAGAGTAGAAAATGCCTAGTCAGGCAAATTCTCCTATTTCCCTCCCACCAGACTCTCGAGTAAACTGCTCAAGGTACTGCATAAGAAGCATTGTTCACCAGATTTACCCCAAACTGAATTACATGTTGCCCTCTGTTCCAATATTATGGGGCATCCTAAGGGAATATTCTGTAATGTTAGTGACCATTTTAAGAAAGCATTGCAGGGCATGCCTAGGTCTCACAAAACGTTTTTGGAGACATTCCCTCAAACTCCTTAGCCATTCTTAGTCTGGACTCCTTTGTCCAGGATTAGCTGTCCTCTTACCACAGTTTTAACCTTAGTTCAAGTTGGCTTCACTAGGAGCTTATACATTTTACTTGTTCAGCTGGTCCCTCTCTCTGGGATCCTTGGCCCGAATGTTACCCCTGCCTGTCTGATTCCACCCCTGGAAGGTAGTGGAAAGGGGATCTTGACTTTTCTTTCTAGGTCATCTCTTTTTAGAGCCCTAACCCATTACTGACCTGAGTTCTGTTGGGAGACAAATGGACAACTCTAAAGGTGATGATTGGTTTTTCAGGGTTTGAGCCTGCGTCAGCCCCAGCTCCCTCAGTCCCTGCCTGGCAGGGCCGTTCCATTGGCACAACCAAGCTTCGCCTGGTGGAATTTTCAGCTTTTCTCGAACAGCAGCGAGACCCAGATTCGGTAAGTGTATCAAGAGAGGTGTGTCTTGACTCAGGATTTGCTTCCCATCCTCTTTCACCTTCTTGCTCTTCTGTCTTTCATCCTTTTCCCTCATTCCTGACAGGTAACCTGTGTGAAAACAGACTTGGAATAGCCAAGCATCCCCTTACCCTTTCCTTTTTGATGTATGCCAAACCTTAGACCTACATGTTTATTGATGCTCAGACCTAGATGGAAGACCCTTTGTAGGCTCTGTATCAAATAAAATTTAACCATAGGTGTCATTTATTGAGCCTTGCCATGAGGATGGTATTGTGCAAAGGTATTGAGATATCTCATCACTTTATTTATTTATGTTTTTGGTCTGTTGTGGGGCCTGAACTCTGGGCCTGGGTGCTGTTCCTCAGCTCTTCAGCTCAACACTAGTGCTCTACAACTTGAGCCACAGACCACTCTGGCTCTTTCTGCTTATGAGGTACCGAGGAATTGAATCCAGGGCCTCATGCATGGGAGGCAAGCACGTTCCCAGCCCCTCTCATCACATTTTATCCTCACAGAAACCCTATAGGGGTAGGTACTATCTGATAGATGAAGTAAGTGTTTAAATGACTTTCCAAAAGCCACATAGTTAATATCTGATGGATTAAAGATTAAAACTCAAGCCCCGCATGGTGGCTTAAGCTTGTAATACTAGCTGCCTGGGTGTCAAAATTACAGGCCAACCAAGGCAAATAAAAGTTCTGCAGACTTGCAGACTCCACTTCAACCAAAGGCTGGATGTTGTGGAGCACACTTGTCATCCCAGCTACAGGAAAGCACAGTGGCTGGATGTGGTAGCTTATGCTTGTCATCCTAGAGATATGGAAAGCACAAATAGGAGGGTCAAAGTCCATTTGGCCTGATTGGAAATCAAGACCTATCTTGAAAATAACCAACACAAAAATGGCTTAGGCAGTATAGCCCCCTAACTATCAACATAAGGTCCTCAGTTCAAAAGTCCCAATAAACTGCCCCCTTTCAAAAAAAAAGATTGAAATTCCAGTCTTTTAATCTCCAAAGCCCAAACAACTATTATCCTATACTGCTTTTCCAAGTCTGGGTTTGTTGTTGTTGTTGTTTTTGTTTTCTTTTTCAAAATAGCAAGTTATCTTTTTTGGGAGAAATAATGAAGTGGTACTTGGACAGCTGAACATAGAATGCAACGCATGGTAATATCATAAATACCAGTCACACTGGCATCTGGACTCTTATTTGTCATTTACTTCTTTCCCTTCTCTCCCTACCCATCTTGTACCCATCATCTCATCATTGCCCATACATATGCGATCCTCCTTTCTTTCCCACCCCATGAGCCTGTACCCTTTCTTCACACCCACTCTTTGGCTGCAAGTGTGAGTGCTGCATCTGTGTGTGGGTGAGCCCCAGGCAGAAATTGAAGGAATCATGAGTTAGTCTTTGGGATCCTCACCAGCTCCTTTCCATACTCCTATCTCTGTACTCTTCCCATTTCAGAAGCTACCCAAAGCATGTAAATCTGAGGCTCATTGTGTGTCACCAGCTTTGCTGTTACCCTGTTATCAGGAGAAAGTATCATGGAAATGCTTGAAGTCTGTTGTAAATAACCAAGATAGTATGCGTTGGAAGTGATCTCCATAGTGAAGAAGTGTGCTCCACTTGTGGAGAAAACCCCTGTGAGTGGGTGGGTAGTCGGAAGATGCCTTTGGCAGAACTCAATCAGCCATCATAGGAGTAGAGACAGGAAACTATGTGGTGGTCACTGACATGCGCATGTAAGAATTGTGAACTCTTAATAGCTGGCAGAAAAATAGAGCTGTGCTGAGTGCCAGTGGCTCACATCTGTAATCCTAGCTACTCAGAAGGCTGAGGTCTAAAGAAAATCTGTAAGACTTTCCTCCTCCCTCCTCTCCCCTCCCCTCCCTTCCTGTCCTCCCTGCTTCTTTCGTCTCTCTCCTTTCCCTCCCCTCCCCTCCCTTCCCTCTCTCCCTTTTATTCTATCTTTATTTTTTAAATTTTTTTATGTTATTATAAAGGTGGTGTACATAGGGGTTACAGTTATATAAGTCAGGTAAAGAATACATTTCTTTTTGGACAATGTCACATCTTCCCTCATACTCTTGGTTTTTGTTTTGTTTTGTTTTTCCCCAGTCATGGGGCTTAAACCCTGGGCCTAGGCACTTATCCTTGAGCCACAGTGCCACTTCCAGTTTTCTGGTTGTTTATTGGAGATGAGAGTCTCACAGACTTTTCTGCCTGGGCTGACTTTGAACCATGATCCTCAGATCTCAGCCTCCTGAGTGGCTAGGATTACAGGGTGAACCACCAGCACCTGGCTCTCTCTCTCTCTCTCTCTCTCTCTCTCTCTCTCTCTCTCTCTCAGTTTTGTAGACTACTTTATCTCCAATAAAAAACAACTAAAAAAGCTGAAAGTGAATTTTGATCAATTTGTAGAACTCTAGCCTTGACCAAAGCTCAGGGGCAGGTTGTGCTAGGCGCTGAATTCCAGGACACCTTCCCACTCCTACCCCCCTAACACAGAGTAGTATAATCTCAGAGCTGGTTTGAAGCCAGCTCAGGCATGCTCTTACCTCCAATTAACTAGCAAAAAGACAAAAGGGGAGATGCTACTCAGTTGTTAGAATGTCAGCCTTTTCAGTGAAAGCCATAAGTAAGAGTATGAAGCCCTCAGCTCAAGACCTAGGACTGGCACCCTACCCAAAAGAAAGAGAAAGAGGAAGAAGAAAACATAGAGCTGCTTCAAGGCTAGGGAGGAAATAAGAAATAAGGCAAATAGGTGTAAAGTAGGTTGGTGTCTGGGGAAGGTACAGTGAAGTTGCTGAGACCAGAGGGATAGACTGCCTAGACTGCCCTTCTTCAGAGACTGGGAACTTTAAAAGAACATTATCACTAGTAGGTTAAAACCCATACCTGTGGGGTCATTAAAATAACAACAGAAGGATTACTTTTTACCATCTTGTGCTTCCTGTTGTTTCTGGAAAGGGCACATGGTCCTTTGGTTGAAGGCTGGGTGCTGCCTTCTGCTTCCTGTAACTCATGTTTGTACAGCACCTTATTGTTTGCAGAGTACTTTGTTACTGACTTTTGCATTCTGTCTTCATAATGCCTAGCAAGATAGGCTTTATTTTTCTCCTTTTACAGAGGAAGAAACTGAGGCTCAGGTACATTTAAGTTATTTAGGGTATTTAGCTGGTAAGCAGAGGAGTCAGGAGTCCAAATCTCCTATCTTGTGTGTACTTCTTGTCTCTACTGCACACTAATTCAGTTTGGAAGGTCTCTTGAATTGCCCATCTAGTCTGAGCATCTCCTGGGTGAGCAGCCTTTCTACCTCTGCATGGGTCCATTTTTAGGAACAGAACTCCAAGGCACTAGGAAGCAAAAAGCCCCAAGATGATTTTTATATCCTTGGTTAGAAAGTAAAAAAGATGTTTTTAATTGAGAGCTCTCCCCCCCAATTGTTGCTATATTCCCAAAATGTGGACCTGTCTGGTCTCAGAATGCTCCTTTTCCTCTTTTTATTGTTCCTGTTTTTTGTTAGGCTTAACATTTTGAGTGACCAGTTGATTTATTCAGTTTATTGTGTAAACATTTATGTGCAACTGCTTGTGCAAAGGAAAGGCTGTAAAGGAAGAGATCTCTGCTACCCAGACAGGGACGGCCTCAACCCTTGCAGACTGTAGCATCTAGTGAAGGGGATAGATAATTAGGTGTGAATCATTGTGACATGTGGCAACTGCTATGGAGGAAGGATGCTGAAAGCAGTCCATGAGGTATTGGAGGGCAGACTTCTCGGTGGAGGTAACCATTAAGCTGTGGAGTGGAAGATTAGGTATGGTGGAATAATACTGAAGAACATTGCAGAGGTGACGAACCTGATGTGTATAAGGCCATGAGTGGAACTAGAGACTGTTTTAGTAGAGCCAGGCCTTACCAAGTCTCAGAGCAGAATCCAAGGTTCATATTTCATATATTTCCAGAAGGACATGTGCTAAATGAAAGGCTTCAGCTGGATTTGAATTTTTACGGTTAAATAAAGTTTAAAACCCCCATGTGTGACCTCAAAAGCCTTTGGTATGAGTCAACACCCTTGGGTCCCTGAAGAAACTGATTGATGGTATGTCTATTAGTGAGGAACTGGGTGCCATTGAGACCATTTGAACACCTACTATATGCCAAACAGTGTTTCAGCATTAGAGATATAGCAGTGGAGAAGATAAAGTGTTGAAAAAGACTGTATCTGGTCTGTCTGTCTCTGTCTGTCTATCTATCCATTCATCCTAGCTATCTGCCCTATCTGTCTTGTCTGTCTGTCTATCTGTTTATCTAAAATCATTGTGTATGAGGCAAGCCAAAATCTGCAGATGATCAGGTCGCTTATATGAAATGTCCTAGTGTTTGCATACAACCTATGGACATATTTGTCTATACTTTAAATCATCTCTGAATTACTTACAATACCAAATTTGTGTAAATGCTGCAGAGTACTTGTTCTGCTATGTTACTTAGGGGGAATATGTCAGTACATGTTTAGTGCAGGTGCAGTTTGTTCTGGTGGGGAGATAGTTTCAGTCTGAGGCTAGTTAAAATAAGGATGCATATTCCATAGGCTTGATAATAATTGTACAACATATGCTAAAGGATGCTAAGTACCAGTGTGGCAATTGAAAGTTATTTGCTCTTTAGATTAAAAATGTGTAATCTCAGCCAGGCACCCATGGCATAATCCTAGCTACTCAAGAGGCTGAGATCTGAGGATTATGGTTCAAAGCCATCCCAGGAAGAAAGACTGTAAGACTCTTTATTGCCATTAAAAGACTACTGAAAAAGATAGAAATGGGGCTGTGGCTCAAGTGGTAGGATACTAGCCTTGAACAAAAGAAGCTCAGAGACAATACCCAGACCCTTAATTCAAGCCCCAAGACTCACACACACAAAAAGTGTAATTTCAGAGCTGAGTACATAGCTTAGTAGCTCAGTGGTAGAGT